TTAAAAATTTTTCATGCAAGGCATGTAAACAGAGGGGAAGTAAAAACATAAACCATCAGATAGGAAGCCGGAAATGCCCCATATATACAGCAGCACTCAAAAACCTAGAAGATGAAAATACTACAAATAAACTTGCACCACTGCGAAGCGGCCCAGGATCTCTTGACGCAAAACATGTACGAAAATGAAATATACGTTGCATTAATCTGTGAACAATATAAAAATAAAGACTCTGACAAGTGGATTTCCGACACTATATACCGCCAAGTTTACCTCATGCTGAATATGAAAAAGTACTTGACGACTTGGTAAAGGATGCGATAACAACTACACCTAATATAATTGCAGGTGACTTTAATGCCTGGGTGCTAGAATGGCAAAAATACAAATTTGCAGAGTTAGCGCATTGCTTAAAGCATTGGCAGTTCTAGACGTACTACTGCTTAACACAGGAAGACAAAACACTTTCGAGAAGAATGGACATCGCACAGAAAAAGCCTGCTTATTGGAGGAATCGATAAATCGAATCTCTGAGAAGAGATAGTCATAAAGTGAGGCGCCGTTTCCAACGAAGCATAGCCTGCGAGAAGCATTCAAAAAGAAACGGAATGACTTAAAAAGGCAAATAAAAAGAGCAAAATAGCATGCTTCAAAGAATTATGCGAAAAAGTGGACGAAAATCCGTGGAGAGCAGCGTATAGGATTGTAATGTCAAGGATTAAAGGTGGCAAATGTCCATGCGCCTACATGCCCTTCACTATTTAAAACTGCCGTAGAAACCCTATTGCCTCAATAAAACCAAGAAGAAAGAAATTTTTATCGCGAAGAAGTCATAGATGCGCCAGAAATCACCAAGCAGGAAGTTTTTCAAGCTGCTGAGCGCTTTGAAAACAGCAAAGCACCAGGAATAGATGGTATTCCGAATAATGCTCTTAAAATTGCGATCAGCTATCATCCACAGCCATTTTCGGATATGTACACACGTTGCCTTCGCGAAGGCGTGTTTCCAAAAATTTGGAAAGTACAACGGCTGGTACTCCTACAGAAGCCAAACAAGCCGGCAGGAGAACCAAGCTCCTATCGACCGCTCTGTATGATCGATACGATGGGCAAAATCCTGGAACGGATAATCTGTACGCGTCTAGAAAATCACTTAGAAGGAGATGGTGGTCTCTATGATATCCAATATGGCTTTCGTAGAAAGCGTTCAACTCTTGATGCTTTCAAGAAAGTTTCATGTATAGCAGAAAAAGCTATTGCAGGATACAGGTGGATGTATATGCGTGCATTAGTGTGGGTGGTGTGTCACAAGGATCTCTGCTCGGCCCACTCCTTTGGAATACACTATATGATGGAATATTGCGCCTCTCTCTACCAAAAGAAGTGGAAATAATAGGATACGCAGATGATATTGCTGTGACAATAGTAGCTAAGGATCTCCACCAAATACAAAGTATTTGTAGTGATATTGTACTGAAGATAAAGCAGTGAAGCAGTACTTATAACTAGCAGAAAAAAATGGAAACCATTTCGCTTAACATAGACGGGCACAACATTACAACACAATCCGCTGTGAAATATCTTGGTGTAACGATTGATGCGAGGCTCACCTACAAATGCATGTTAAAAAAGCATGTGAAACAAGCGGCGCGTGTAAACATGGCCTTATCAAGAAGCAGGAGAGCTCTTCTAACCAAGGTCAGCCAGTCAATTGTAATGCATGCGGCGCCTGTATGGGGACTAGCATTAATATATAAGACATATGCTCTTGAACTTAAGCGAGTAGATGATAAAAGTAAAAGCGCAAGCCATAAACTAACTGCGGCAGGGCGTAGAGTAGAAAGACAAGGCACTACGAGACGTGTATTTTACTACAGCCAAGTAGCAGTATCTATATAAGATTCCCCCTCACAAACCCCTCACGAACCCCTCAAACAAAAAAAAAAAAAAAAAAAAAAAAAAAAAAAAAAAAAAAAAAAAAAAAAAAAAAACACACAAGGCTATCCGCATACATGTACACCCATAAACACTTCTTTATCACTTCTTTATGTAAGCACGCGACCTCTCCAAAGAAAGCCCAACTGCCTCATTCACACCAAATGTGGGACATAAAAATTCACACACAAATTTATTTAGCAAATTTATATTGGTGTATGATGTATGTGTGTCTTACCTTTCTCCTCCATGCATTGCTTGCATTCTGTTGTCCTTGCGACTGCCACAATTTGCGTAGTACCAAAAAATATAAGGATTTGCTTGCACGAATTGAGTTAAGCCAATTTGAATAGGTTAAATTAAATTCGCGAGAAAGTTTGTTATACACAGAAAGAAACTTCGTAGATTCAATAAGCTGCTCATTTGTCGGAAGCGCCCATATCAGGAAAAATTGGTGGACCAAAACGAAGTTGTTGTACGGAAAACTCTTTTGTTTGGCAAGATATCTTGGCGAAATTTTACATGAACCATTGTATAACAGAGTTCTATAATTACTAAACAAATTGTTCTGATCGAACTTCTATATATTATAATATGGCTACCATACAAACTGATTGATCGAAATCAAATACTTTATCTTTACGAAATTTCGCAGAGCTTTTTGTTAAAAGGCGGCGCTACAATCTACGGTTACATTGTTCAGATCGTACACTACAGCTCATAGCTGGCATAAAAATATAATATAATATCTTTTTTGAACGTATTATGCCATAAAAAATACACCAGTGTAGGATATTATATTTAGCTTCGATGCAACTTACTTTCGTGTTTTTATGCTTGCAAACTCCCTTGAAGGCGCATAGCAGGCCTTTAGCTATTGTGTGTGGTGTGTGTTAAGTAGGGTATAATCTGGACAAGAGACCTAACGCTGACGACGCAGCAGTGACCTCCAATTGATTATTAAATTTTTTTCTGCGTTCACTTAAGCTGACCCAGATTTAAGGAAAATTTTCCCACTAGACACACCATCCAGACTATGCATATAGACACACACACATATATATGCATGTAGTATACTAGCTGACCCCGCAGCCGTTGTCCTGCTAGAAATTATGTGTGTTTGAAATAAAAAGAAAGCTAAATTAACAATTTTAATTTTTTTTTTCAATGTAACGCAGCTTTATAAACAAAATGTTTTCGTTTCTGTTCCGGTGTACTGAAAAGATGGTTTCAAAATTTATGCCACACACTATGTCATTATCCTTGTGTCCTGTTGATAGTCATCTTATATGCAATTTTCACTGGGAACGAAATACGTTTGAACAGAAATGGCAAATCGTTATAACTCAAAGGAATTCGTAGAATCAAGCATTCTGTCCCCTTGTATTCGATAGCGCAGATTTCGAAACATAATAACGACAGATCCAACTTTGAGACGCAAATGATGCGTTCGCATACCAAGCCTCTCCAAAGAACATCGTCATAATTGGTAGCTAATATTGCGCGTGCACTTATGGAATCGTAGTTACGATAATTTGGCCAATGTCCGAAAATTCGTGATGAGTTCATCTTTCGTGAATTGATAAACGGCGGACGGAATTGATATCGAATAGCCGGGAGTATCAACCGGAACTGACCCATTTCCAATTATTTGCGAAGACGATGTAAAACGTTTTCGGCAATGCCGTTGTTTTTCGGGTGGATTGTGTAAATTCGTCCGAAGGCATTAGTTAAGAACGCACGTGGGTGTCAATTTACTGGTTGGTAATGTACTCGTATAATATAAATATATTTCCGAATAGAGCACTGTTCTCGCAAACGGATCACTGGCGAAAGTTGAGAAAAAACTCTTAACCCATATTCAAGAATAATAAAAAAAAAAAAATTGTTTTTACCAACCGTTTTCTTGATATGAACTGGTCGAAAAATCGACCGCTGGCCAAAAACCGTCAAGTATGAAAAAATATATATTTTTTTGTTTTATTTTCTTTAAGAAAAATTTAATGATTTTAGTTGAAATTATTTGCTTTTATTTAAAAGATATGTATTTTTTTATATGATACATGTATATTGTACCGACGTAAATCTAAAAATTTTGATGATATTCATCAAAACATTTAGTATGTAAATAAACGTTACACTTTTTGCAAGTAAAAATAAATATGTTTCTTGCATAACTTACAGCGCCGATATTTATTTGCAAGACTTCTCATGACGGCGTGTACCTTTTGGTTGATCCGAGAGAGGTTCGATGGATGTCCAGAGTCCTGATCTTCATTTCCATTCTCGTAATCTTCCTTATTGTCGTAAGTCAACAAATGGTTTGTGACTTCAGATCGAAAATCAATTTGTGAAAGTGGTTTCGTCTTTTGAAATTTTGCTAACATACAATGCAACTTCCATGCATTGACCATTGCGTTACCAAGAGCATTAATCCATATTTTCCAAAACCATTTTTTTCCTTGTAAACATATCCTATAGTTGGCCACAGCATTGTCATGAAGATCCACTCCACCCATACCGTGATTATATTCTTGTATTACTTTGGGTTGTCGAATGGTGATAGTTTTCTTTTGCTTCCGACAATATCTTTTAGCATATACATACCATTGGTTCGGCTGTGGAGTTATTAGTAATAACATTGACGACAGCGTTATCGTTCCACCGTACAGTCAATATTTCTTATTGACCATCGAGTAGCTGGTCAAATGCCCCGCGTTTCTCTTTTTTTAAATTCCTCAAGGGCGATTTTGCCATCCTATTTTCACGTATAGTACCGGTTGCAAAAAATTAACGCTATAATTATAATTATAACGCTTATATATTAAGATGATAGGATAAAAAAAAATGTTCAAAGAAAATAATATGGCAGTCGGGGTCAGTTACGTTAGCAAGCAAATCTTAAGCAGTTTGTGCTCCTAGACCGATATTCTTATCGTGAGGGGTTGCTGCACCCCCATATAGTATACTAGAAAATCAATATCCACTTTCTGAATATAAGCACCACGACTTAAATCCAAAACGAATCGGTTTTCCTTTGATAAACATTTTGCATGAGTGTCGACCAAAATATGGATTCATCTGTTCGTCTACGGAAAGAATATGGCTAAAAACTCCGAACTGCATTCATTTTTTATTGAGAGCATCAATAAGCGGGCGAACGTTGGCAAAACGATATACTGTATTTAAACGGTGTTATCAGAAACCGTTAAGATGTAAGAACCGTTTTATTATTTTAAACCGATTACGACTCAACGCTCGTTTTACAATTGGAATTCCCATGTCGGGCCGAACACACCAATAGTGGTCAATATGAGGCAAGGTGTAATACCCCGAAATGTACGAAATACCAATGAACCTACGTATTTCCACTGGCGTGACGTAAATGGCAGCATTGTGTTGATTCGCATATTCGTTTGTGAAATGCGTTATCTCTGCAATTATTAATTTATCAAAATACAACGATAAAATATCATACGGAGATTTAGAGCCTGCAAAAAAGGTTAGGCATGAATAAATACTCGTATACGTATATAAGTATATATAAATTTATGCATATATGTACATATAGAAATGGCAATTTAAACTAAATAGTTAGAAATAGTTAATCAATTGCTTACCAATTTCAGAAAAAATTTCTTCCATTTTGAAAGCTTCGATGTTAATTGGCGTTCGGCTGTATTCAAAATTTCTGGGGTTT